TTATATTTTGAATAAATGCTGTTCTTTTTAACTTTTTATTCATCAAAGAATCCTGAAAAAAGTATCGCAGTTTCCCAAAAAATATTAAGGAGCACAGCAGTTTCCAGCACTGATAATAATTCAGCATATTAGAATGATTTCTGAAGAATCATGTGGCACTGAAGATGGAGTAAAATGATGTGGTTAAAATATTCATGAACAAAAATGACTTGTTGAGTCCCTTGTACTCGATACAGATTTGGTCCGAGGCACATCAGGGCAGAATCCGCTATGATCAGGTTGTACAATGGCTGGACAAGAGCGGCCCCATACGAATCACTAAGGGTGGCGGATATCGGTGACATTAATGTTAACCTCTTTGACCTGAAGGACACCTGCAAAAAAATACGAGAGGCTTATCGTGAAATTGTGGCCACTGGCTGCATCCCACTTACACTGGGTGAGAAAACATTTTCAATATGCAGGAATACATGGATCAGGTTTGAGTCCACTTTTAATATGTTACTTCTCCACTTGTCTTGGATTCCCAGGAGGTGATCATACAATCGCATACCCAATTCTACAAGCTGTTGCGGAGAGGTTGGTGAAAACACAAGAGGTCCCCCTCCTAATTTGCAATACCAACTCACATTTAGTCTGAAATACTGCTCTTTCTGCTGTTCAGGCATGGTCCTGTGGGCCTAATACATGTGGATGCGCATGCAGACACTAGTGACATGATTCTGGGTGAGAAAATTGGTCACGGGACCCCTTTCAGACGCTGTGTGGATGAGGGGCTCCTGGACTGCAAGAGGGTCGTCCAGATCGGGCTCAGAGGCTCGGGTTATTCTCCAGATAATTATGAGTGGAGCCGAGCACAGGTATCACGATGCTTTTACCAATAATCATGCTCTAAATAGATAATTCATATATTAGAATGTAATATGTCGTATAATATTCATTGGCCTGCAAAGTGAAGTCATAGTTCCACCACTCTATAATGACGCTATATTTGAGTCCAGTGCTTCTTTTACGTCTTCCATCGTGCTTGTAAATAAAAACATAGTACATTTTGGTCTTTCCAGGGTTTCCGTGTAGTGGAAGCTGTGGAGTGCTGGCACAAATCTCTTGTCCCGCTCATGGAGGAGGTTCGCTCACAGATGGGAACCGGACCAGTCTATCTCAGCTTTGACATAGACAGTCTGGACCCTGCATTTGCTCCAGGCACAGGAACACCTGAGATTGCTGGCCTCACACCCATTCAGGTATGCTTTACCTGTCGCTCAGAGATGCTTAAACCTGCTCCTGCAGTTGAGAATAAACTCCCATCACCCTTAAACCAATCAATGAAGGTCTTTTAAATCACTTTATGTTAATAATACTTCCACAAGTATTCATATAAACATAAAATTTGCCGCACACTATGCAATCGATATATAGAACAAGTGATTTGAAAAATGGACACACTATTAATCTGGCATAATGTACTATACATTACAGATCAAAGATACAGCCAAGAGCAGGTCTTGGACTTTGCGCGTGAAAGTTTAATATTAACCTTAGGGGTTGGTTAAAAGCACACTTAAAGATAGAGACATGGCTGATTTGAATCTCAATCGACACTCTTTTGTGTAAAGAATAATGTATTTTGAAATGTGTTTTTTTTAGGGTCTGGAAATCATTCGAGGTTGTCGAGGTGTTAATCTTGTGGGTTGTGATTTAGTTGAGGTTTCTCCACCTTATGACACCACAGGTACTGTATTATATATAAATTTTTTTATTTATATTATATATATTTTTTACTATTTACATTATATTTTTCACAGGAAACACTGCTTTGACTGGGGCTAACCTCCTTTTTGAGATGATGTGTGTCCTTCCAAAAGTCAAATATTATTGATTGCGTTTGTGGAACGTCTCAAATAATTGCACATATACATGATTTGTGTACAAAATCAGTATTAATATTATTTTCAGCAACAAATACCTTTATTGGGATTAGCAAAACAGTGTCATACAGTCAATTCATGAACACAGTGAAGAAAATTCATATTGCGTATGGAGAAACAACTCTCGGAAATAAAAAAAAATCACAAAATTACGAAAAAAACATTTTTTTTTGAACCGATTAATAAAATAATTTCACAACATGATACAGAGTTCATATTTTACACCACAGACATAAATACATTTAGTCATATAGAGTTAATAAGCCATGAAAATTTGGCATGATTTAATGCTATCTTAAATTTAAGATATTTACCAGTGCATTGCAAAACACAAATAAAATGCTAATATAGTACAATGGCACCAATACATCATCAATTATAAAGTATAATGAATGTTCATTGAACACCATATGAATAAAGTAATATTATTCATCACTCAAAATATGTCAGTAATGGAAGACTTCATATAGGAGTGGATTTAACTCACCCACACCTTTCTGTGCATATGCAATAGCTAATCAAATGCATAACCACTAAATCCTGCTAACAAAATGAAACATCACAACATAGAGGAGACAAATGGTTTTCTACAGCAAACATGAAATGCATAGTACAAAATACTTCAGATAAAGTATGTATTATGTCTTCTCTTTGTACTGTTGAGAGTATGCTTTGCATGCCACAACACATTTTTAATCAAAACACAACTGGAAACTATAAAGGTCTCTGGCGCTCTGTCATTCTTTAAGGCTTTACCTGCTCGTTTTATAGCTGCACTATATAGCTGAATGTGACTTGTACAGGTCGATAAAGAGCTGTTAAACCCTTTACTTACACTATCAATCTGGTAAGAACATCTGGAATCTTTCTTATATTTTAGGTACACAAATCCATATTATATTTTTACATATACATTTAATATTATGTAACTATTTACACCTTGGGACTGAAGCACAGTTCATGTTCTGTGGGTATTGCTGTAAAGTTGCTCCAGTTGTGTTAAAGTCTGTACCACAAGTATGGAAGATGCTAAGAAATTTGACACGTGTTGCACTGAAAAAAAAAAAAAAGACTAAACCTAAAAAGTTTTCTTTAGATACTGAATTGATAAAGCTACAGTATTTTTTAAGTTTAAATGAACTTAAGATATCTACCATCCATATTTTCACTATTATTTAGAAGGGGGAAAAAAAGTTTGTGTTTATGTTCAAATTATTATAAAATAATTACAAATGGTACGTTTCCAAATATTTTCAATTTTGAATTCTAACAAACTTTTATTAAAGGTCTCAAAGTAGCCAAAGTATTTTATTCTAGTTTAATATTTTATTTTCATGCTTTAAAATGGTTTTTTTTTTTTTTTTTTGGTAAGGAATTGCGAGTAAAACATTAAAATGTGTTAACAATTCGTTAACATTAGTTAATGCATTGGGCATCATGAGCTAACAATAATAAAGCAATAAGCCCCAAGAAGCCATGGTTTACAGCGAATTTATAACAGCTAAGGGGCGTTGTTAGGAAAGACGCAAAGCAGAGTGCCTAAAACCCACTTAGCTGTTATAAATTCACTGTAATTCACTGTCTTTAACTGAAAAAATTTGTGTTTACTATTGTCATTTTGCATTATTGACACTATTTTCCTAATTAATGCTGTTCAGTTGCTTTGACACAATCTGTATTGTTAAAAGCGCTATATAAATAAAGGTGACTTTACTTGACTTGACTTGACTGTAAACCACGGCTTCACGGGGCTTATTGCTTTTATAAATGGTTATTCCATATACGTAGTTAGGTTTCACAAAATAAAAGAGCAAATAAAGTGTAATGATATTAATAAAACCAGTATTCTTCCACCAAACAATGTAGCGCCTCAGAATCACTTGTGGTTCCAACAAAGTGGTTGCCGAGCAACAGACAGAAGTAAACAAAGGTGTGTGTTTGTAGAGTAATTTACAACAGCTTCGAACGCGGCTCAACCAATCAGAATCAAGGACCGGAACTATCCGTTTTATAAACCACAATTTTGAAATGATAAAAATGTTTTAGTATATGTACTGTAGAAATGTACGTTATACATAATTAATCAATGCTGCGAAAGCATTTTGCATTGTTATTTCATTTAATTCACTGCATTAACTAAAGTTAACACATAGACCCTTATTGTAAATTGTTAGCCAAAAGTTAAATATTGCACTTTGTAGATCAAGGGTGTTCAATTAAAATGATAAAAGTGTCTCTTAAAATTGTAAAACATAAAAATTCACAGCATTGTCTTGAGTAAACAGTTAAGACTAAAAGTCTACAGTGATGTTTGTTATGCTACATTATGTTAGCTGTTTTTCAACTAGCAGCATGTTGCAATGTTATTCGTGGAACGGAAATATTTAAAATCAAAAGCTAGGCTAGCTGTATCGATATTTTGCCTCTCAACCAACAGCCTTTTGAAATAAATACCAAATATCCAAACTGATTGTAAAGCCCTCCAATAGAGCAGCTAAAGTAAAGATTTCCAAGAGGTCAACATTAGTGTACATTCAAGTACTCCAAACATTTTCCTTTCCCCAACAATGCTAAGCTAAAGTCACTTCTGCAAAGTCTTACATAGAGCATCTGGCTCTGAGCAGCTTCAAGCCTGGTTTCACTGAGGCCATCGGGTGCTTCTAATCCAGCTGGGTTATTAGCTCTAGCAAAAGCATGCTAGCTTCCATGAGGCTTTATTTATTGACAGTGATCTTGTCCAGACTGGGCCAGGCTGGGACGTAGTACCGTGGCAGCGTCCCTTCCATCAGTCGCTCCATCCAGAGTCCGAGTCGATCCAGTTTGTGGTGGATCTGAAGAGTTGTGGATCGAGAGCGTGTCATGCCCTTCCTGGACCGGGATCCTCCTCCTTCCTCTTCCGGCTTGCTATCCAAGTCTTCACCTGTGTAGACTGGCTTGAAAAGACACAGGTATTTCTTATGGCCATTGAGGGCTAGAACATAGCCTGTGTAGTCTACTTTGCGGCTGCCCACTTCGTCCTCATCTGTGTCGATTTGCATGGCATCCTGGGCGTATTCCAACACGGCCGCCATCCATCCGCTGTGTTTATCCACATTTAGGAAAGAGAAGTGTAGCGTCAAACTCCTACGAGGAAGAGGAAACATAGTATATATCTTTTTTAGACATTGTGACTGCAAGGTGCACCATGCAATGAGGGCTCACCCAGTGAACGAATAAACTTCCTTGGCAAACTTGCTGAGCAGGATGTTCTTTGTGGAATCAGTAAGTACCAGAACTACATTAATATGACCCGGCCTCAGCTTCACCAGGTTACTAGTGTATGTAATGTCGGTTAACTCTGTCACCTCCACAAAGTTTTTCTTTGGTGGGCGACTGCTGGAAAAAAAAAAGAGCATATAATAGTATAATAAATTAGGGATGCATCAATATAAAATAATTATTTTATGCTATTATTTTATATAATTTCATGCTATTTTTATAGCTGATAACAAATGACTGATATTATTCAAATTCCAAATTGAATATTATTATTATTGATTTATAAATAATCTCAACTTAAAAAGATTATTACAGTATTGTTTCAAACTCAATAATATCCAATAAATGTAATGGTACTGATACATTGTGCATCATTAAAATAGATGGAATTTATTTATTGGATTTATCCAAAACTAATATATGAAAGAACCTGGATGTGCTGGAGGTGTTTGGCGAACCGTTCTCTGCCTTGGATGCCTCTTTTGCTTTCGTTTTGGGCTGTTTATCCTCACTTGAGTCACTGAAATTAGAAACAGCAACGTTCAATGTCTCTGCATTTCCCGTCTAACACATCAGAATTATGAATGCAATAAATCTTACCTGAAAGCCTGAATAACTACAGTGCCAAATAAAATAAAAAGTGCAGAGAATATCAAAGACAGTAGGGGCATCATCTCACGCCTGCAAAATGAATGAAAATAACTTAATTGAGCATTATATATCAAAAATATTGCTGACCAATCCCACCTTTTGGTACTAACAAATATTTCATAAAGCTTATTACAGTAAAGAAGAAGGGCAGAGCTTAGGGTCAATTGGCATTTTATTTGCCTACCAGTTATTGTGAAGAAGATCATCGATAATTTCAGACAAGTAGTCATATGCCGTGTAAATCCATCTTATTAAAAACATCTGAAAACAAACGGATGTACAAAATTAAGTTCCAGTAAATTTGGACATAATCTAGATCTCTACTGAAACATGCATAGAGGTCACTGCTAATTTCCCAATTAAAGACGCTCCATGAAAAGCAAACCCTGAGAGACTCACCGAGGTGAACTCATTGTTGAGCTCTGGGAGAACGGCATCATTATTGAGGATGGAGGGATCCTTCTGCAGTCTTTCGAGTTCCTCCAGAAGCTTGTGTTTGTCTTCCTTACTGCCGTTCCATCCTCCCAAAACTGGCTTATACAGAATCTTACCAGCTCCCTTACGCCTCTCCAGAATCACCACCTGCTCAATAATACACACAAAAGTTTCATTGGGTTACACACTAGAGGTCCACCAATAGTGGATTTTGCCAATTTGATAACTTAAATGGGAAAACAGGCCAATAAACAATTTGGCCATTTTATCATCCATAAAAACCTGGATACTGAATGTATATTGAATGTAAAAATTCAATGTAAAATAGTGCTTTATTACTAAAGTGTTATTACTTAATGAACAGAAATGACCCTGAATGTATTATCTCAAATGAAATAAATTCTAATTAAATATAAACACAAATGGAGCCAAAATGTAACCCTTTAAATAACAAAAATTCCAAACAATAATTAAACAAAGATCACTCCAAATAACACAGCTTAATCTGAACCTAAACAGGTAAAACTTTAGGAATCCTGTAAGCAACTGCTACATCAAAGTGATTGTTTTTAATAAATGTATTGTTCCATTCTCTGTCTGCAATAATTGATGCAAATAAGCAACTAATAATGTCGAACAATCGTTCGAAATAACATATCTGTCAACCCCTATAATGCTCAAGTATTTTCTTCTCGAAACAAAAAAGCATGAAGAAGATAACATTTACCTGTGGTGGTGTGCTGTCTTTGTTCTTCAAGAGAACATCGCATAGGGGCTGCTGACGTCGCTGGTAGACGTAAGCAAATCGCAGCACATCATTAGTGTTTGCAGAGGCTAGCGAGAGGAAGGCTTCATTTCCTGTGGCGAAGGACTCTTCCTCACCAGTGATGAGTAGAATGCAATATCTGTGGAAAAGACATTGCAGACTATTGGAAAAGACCCTTTAATATGTTGAATCGGATTAACTCCACTGATTTTTACAAAGCCATCTTACTTCCTGCGACGATGGAACTGTTTGACAGGGCAAAGCTCATCAAATAGCTTCTGGTTCACCAGACGAGGAGCCAGGAGGAACTTGTTGTTGGAGATGAACTCATCTATTATCTGCTTCTTCATCCCTTTAGCCTGAGGGAGCAAATGTTTAATTGAAAGTCAAAAGGTAAACATATTTATATCTTCTCAAACATCTGAAACAAAAAAAAGATGTTGCTGAAGCCCCAACCTGGGGTGCGTTTCCAGTACAACGATGTAACTCGCTGATTTGACCACCATAGTACAATGCATTGTTGTGGAAACGAACTAGCTAGTCACGACTGTTTCCCGAACACTGCTGCATCTCCATCGTTTGAACAACATTAGTTCAACAATATAGGGCCATTGTTAATGACGTCACACGCATGTGGTGGAGTAATAACTTCTGCTGTTTAACTGATTGGAGATCTCTTAAGATGCTGCTGTATTGAACATGGCACCTGATGACTAATTTACTATGTTTTGTTCCCTGTCATTTTGCTTTATTTGATGTTGACTCTTCCTCACCAGTGATGAGTAGAATGCAATATCTGTGGAAAAGACATTGCAGACTATTGGAAAAGACCCTTTAATATGTTGAATCGGATTAACTCCACTGATTTTTACAAAGCCATCTTACTTCCTGCGACGATGGAACTGTTTGACAGGGCAAAGCTCATCAAATAGCTTCTGGTTCACCAGACGAGGAGCCAGG